CCAAGCCCATATTTCTAGCGGGCCGGATGGACCAAGTCCAACGGGTCGTCTCGTCCATAAACAACTCTAATTAAATTCTATTCATTATTATCAAAATCTTCTGTGAATTTTTATGTAATCATTTGACTGTATTGTGGATGATGAAACATATATGATAATGGTTTCACATATGGAATGCTACTCTGAATTGTTTGAAAAATCAATATGTTACCTCCTTAAATAATTGGTTGATTTCACATATGAAATGTTATTATGAAACAACATTGTATGAAAATAGGTACAAAGTTTTTAATTGTTTCATATGGAAACCAATAATTGGTTTAGTTTCACATGAAAACAAAACGGTCACATATTAAAAAGTTAATTTCTTGTTTCATAAGTGAAACAATCTGGTATGAAACTACGATAACAAAAATTTGGTAGGGGACGTTTGGTTTGCAGATTCTGAAGGAATCTGATGGAATTTGGAATGTTGAATTTCATTGACCAAATTTCATTCCCTTGTTTGGTTCATTCTTTTTCACGAAAGAAATCTTCAAAATACTACAAATTCCACAAATAAATGAATTTAACATTCCTTAGCAACTACATGGTATTTTGATGGAATGAAATTCTCTATTTTCATAATACCAAATATGTCTTTAACTCAATATAACATAATCTCATAAAACCCAATATAACCCTCGTCGATCTAAATCACAGCTGACCATCGCCATCACCATCTGAACCACTGTCGACCACCACCGTTGACTACCACTTATCTGAACCATCGCCGACCACCTCCAATTTGAACCATCGCTGGTTTGAACCACCGCCAACCACTACCGATCTGAACCATCGTTGACTACCGCCGATCTGAACCACTACAGATCTGATCCACCGTCGATTTGAACCACCGTCGGTCTAAACCACCGCCGATCACCGCCATCTGAACCACTATAGACCACCATCGATCTGAACCACTGTCGACCATCACCATCTGAACCACCACTTACCACCATTGATTTGAACCACCACCAACTACTACTGATTCGAATCACTGTCGGCCACCGTTGATCTGAAACACCATCGATCGTCATCGATCTGAACCACATCCGACCATCGCCACCTGAAGAACAACGGACCACCACCGATCTGAACCACTATCGACCACCGGCGACTAACACCGATCTGAATCACCGCCAGACACCGGGAACACCAACGATTAAATGGTTGGCATCGCTTTTGGTTGGTGAGTCCAGAGAGGCTCTGGTCCTTAAGGACTAGATGAGCTCTCGTTGGTCTTGTTCTGTATGATGCAAGGTTTATCATGGGGTGTTTCAGATCTCTGAAGACAAGTCTACAGATTTGGACTTGTCTTGTAAACACGTTATTTTACTTTCCAATTTGTTGATCTCGCTGCAGCTAGGGGTGCTCACGGCCCGGGTTGATCAATTTAGAGTCGTTTTAACAACCCAACCCAATGTTGGCGGTTTGAAAATTTTCAACCCAACCCAACCCAAACAAAAGTTCAACCCAACCCAACCCGTTCGGGTTGATCGGGTTGTGTTTAAACAATGTAAAATCACATAAAAATAAAGGAAACTTTCCTTTGAAATACGACCGACCATTCAAGATAATGTACAAATTCATCAAATATTTAGATATTACAATAAAAATGTTTAAACCAAATGATAATACATCAATCAATAACAATAGTTTTAGACGTTTCCAACCCTGATGCTTTCGCTTTCTTGACGTTGAGGTTGTTAATGTCATGATTATCATCTACAATTCAAAGCTAAAGTTAAGGTCGGGTTCATCAGGTTGTCGGGTTGGTCGGGTTTTTTTGGGTTTGACCCGATTCCAACCCAATAAGGTCGGGTTGGCTAATTTTTTTATCGATCATGCATCGGGTTACCTCGGGTTGGGTTTTTTTTTTTTAAATTTGGGTTGGGTTGGTCGGGTTCATCGGGTTTTTGAGCACCCCTAGCTGCAGCGGGTATACTACTAGTATCTATATATAGATATAGATATAAGTATAGATATAGATGGATAGATATAATATGAGTATTCAAAATAAGTATTGGGGATTTGAAGAATAGTAATTAGATAATTAGTTGTTTAATAATATGTAAAGCTAAAGTAATTTTATTTATTTATTTTAACAATAATTTTTTTACAACTTTTTGTCTAATCATCTACATATGATTGTTTAGTTTAACTAATCCTAATTAATTAACCAAAATACTTAAAATCAATTATTATAACTTCAAGTGGCAATAATTATTTAAACATATATCTAAACAACCTCCGAATTTAATAACCCAACGTTCAATAAAATGTGATAAAAAGATAAACATCTGGTAAAAAGTCCAGAATTTTGAAAAATATATATTTTTTAAATATGGTATTATTGAGTATAATTAATTTTTAATCGAGTTTATTTTTAACAGAAAAATAACTTGATTGGTTTATGTGTAGAAGTTAATTTTTATTT